ACTAACCATGTAGATCACTTGTTGTAAATCTTGCAAATCAAGGCAGCAGGAAGCTTACAGCCACTTCGCCGTATCTGCATTGCTTGACAGTAGGGGTTGCAAATATACTGTACGAGGCACAAGTACGTCACACCTTGAGTATGCTCCACTTTATTGGTTTGCTGTCCCCCCTCTCATCTGCGTCTGCTTGACAGAGTAGAGAACAGAGCAAGACGTCTATCTTTGCATGACCCATCCTGTGGGATCAAAAGTTTAGCCAAAGTGTGCTGCCCTCTTTACTTTCCTTTAAAACCCCTTCATACATTTTCATCAGGGCCTTCGGTTTTGTTAGGTTTTAATTTTATCTATTTGCCAAAGGGACCAGTCACTTGTGCCCCAATGTGCCATTTTATTATCGCCCTTTACATAATTATCTTTACTGGAATATCGCGGGTACCTCCTGTGTAAAAATAGGGGAAGTATTTTAAAAATTTACACATTTCCTTATCATTTTCATGAGCGACCCGGGAACTTTTGAGGGGGGGCCTATCTTGCCCCCTGATCTACTTCGATACCTGAAAGAACCCTTTTGGGGGTTAGTTTCGATTCCTTGCAACTTTAACCTCTAACTTTTTTTGCTTTTCTAACCCCCTTTTTTATTTCTCTTTTTAACTGAATATAAATTTCTCAATTCCCCCTTTTTTTTATTTGCCTAAAATAGCCTCTTTTTGCCAACCCAAATTTTAATCTTTTGTTCTCCATTGGGAACATTTTTTTTGATTTTTTTCCCCTTTTTGGAAACAAAATTTTGACTGAGCACTAAAAACTATCCCCCTGGAAAAGATCATATGGGGCAACCATCACCCCCTCCTGACCCTTAGTCATCATTCCAGTTCAGCCCACCAAGATGAAGGTTTTCGGGAAACCGGCACCCCGGGATTGAGTCCTGGAGGGGGAAGCACAGTGTCTACACTTGAAGGGGGGGGTGTTAAAAGTTGCAGTTTTAAAAATGAGTGTAAAGACACCTTTTTAAGACAGTGAGGAGTAATGTGTTTATTTTTTTTTTATTTTTTATGTTTTTGCAAACATACATTGAGATTTTGTTTTTAGAATGGGGGGGTTCCCATGAAAAGAACCCTTTATTTCCCTAGGCTTATGGGCCAATTTAAACATTATTGGCTTAATTTTACTTAATACTAAGGAGTATATCATAGTTGTACAGTAGGATAGTAATTATTTCATAGTTGTACATAAATATTAATTATAAATGAAACAAAATTTGTATAAAAAAAGATTATTTTTTTCGCAAATGCTTTTTGTAAAAAAAAATGATTCAATTATATTCCTGCAAAAATGGGTAAAAGGTTCAAAGTGTTGTTTCAGTTATGATTGGGAGTACATAGGGGAGTAAAATTTTATGATATTTAGCATTTATCTGGGGGGATTTAAATGGGGTTTGGAAAAGTCTTTAATTGATTTTTAGACTGGGTTACTTTTAAAATCTTCGGAATGAATTCCCTATTTGGGCCCCCTTTTTTGGGATAGATTTTTAACAGTGTGTTATGGACCGAGGGATATCAAAAAGAGATTGTGTTTTTGTTTGGTCATGTGTCCTGTTTAGGTTGGTGAGGAAAGTTTTAGTGGGGGGTTTTTATTTGCGTGTATTGTTCTATGTATTAGTAGGGCACTGAATAAAAACAGATGTTCTTTAAAGGTGAGCAATTTGACTTTTAAAAAAAGGGGAGTAGCTGGCGGGGGTGGGAAATTTATCATTTTTACTGCTGCCCTTTTTCTGGGTTATTAGGGGTTTTTGGTGATGGATGTTGTTTATCCCCCTGCACAAAATCCTTTGTAAGATAAGGGGTTTTGAGTGAATGGGACAGTGCCCGGAAGCTGATTGTGGAAGTAGTCCTATCTTTGATAGTATGCCTACAGTCTTGGGATTTTTTTGGTGATTTGTTGTATGTGTGGCGAGCCCTCAAACCATTCACACTTGAAAAAAGAAGTCGACAACCTCACCCCCTTTCCCTTTTGTTCTTTTCTGCGGTAGATCTGTTTGGACTTGAAAAAGCCCCTGTGTGGGCAAAATTGTCAATAAAGGATACATTATACTGCACATGTGTTTTATTTTTCCCATTGCGTAAATATTTTATTCCATTTTTTTCCATCTAGGCAATTCAAGCCATCACACCAATTTTGGGGAATGAAAAATAAAAGTTTTTCTATTTTCAAGCCCCCCCCCCCCCCTGCAAGTGAACGTAGATCTACGTGTGGACATTTTTAAGGGTTAAAGATGATTTAAATGCAAAAAAGGGTAAACATTCAAAATGACCCCGTATTGAAGATGTTGTTGTGGATGGAAAAAGGGAGGAGGGGGGGGAGGGAAAGGGGAAATTTTTCTTTAAGGAAACCCCCCTCCAAATTTCTGGTCCAAACCCTTTTTGGGGGTTTTTCCCCCTTTTGTTTTTTAAATGCCATTAAATACTTAAGGTTTCCCACTTCATAAAATTTTCCAAAGGGGGCCCTTTTCGGGCCCTTTTAAATTTCCAAAAGGGGGCTTTCACGTTTTTGTATGTTCCACCCCCTTAAACACTTTTTTTAAATTTTTCCTCCACCCCCACCCCACCTTAACACTCACACCACCCTCACCCCATCAAAACCCACACCCCCCTCACTACCCCCCTCAAAAACCATCACAACCACTACCCCATCACTAAAAATAAAAAAAAAAAAAAAAAAAAACCACCCTCTCCATTCACAACCATTCCACCACACTATCACCCTCTATCCCCACCAAAAACCCTTTCCACCCTCTTTTTCCAATCCCCTCCCCCTACCACCTCACTAATACCCCTACCACCAAAAAAAACCACCCTCAGCCCCATACTACCATCCTCTCCCACCTCAAAATTATTACCACCCCTACCACCACAAAACCATTCCCACTTTACCCCATCATACCACCCTCTACCACCACTTATGCATTTTCTACAATGTTTCTCACATTCTTTATAAAAGGGGCTGGCACAGAACTTTTTTGGGCCCAAATTTGTGGCTTTTTTAGCGCACACACAATAAACAAATGCCCGGGTAGTTCACTGACTGAGAAACAACTGACACTGCATGGAATGGTGGGGGGAGGTGGCTTTGTATACCACGGGCACTGGGGGTTTTGTACATTGACGAAAAATGGAGGAAATCAAAAAAAACGAACCAAAATTTTGATGAAAAAAAAATTGGGAGAAATGGAAATCAGCAATAACGGAGTTTTACAAGGGAGGGGCCATGAACATTTTAATTTTTTTGGGAAATTTTATTTTTTGGTTTTTTTCCCCTTTTTGGATTTTAAACCCCTTCTGGAACGGTTTCGGCTAATAACCGAGGGTCCACTGTATTAAAAAATTAAAGAAAAAAGTAGACTAAAAGTAAAAATAATATTACCGAGTGAGCGGCGGTCACTATTGTTGCTGTAAGCCATTCACTTTCTGTCAACTTCACGCCTCTTTTCTGGTAAAATGACTTATTTTTTTTTTTTCTAAAAAGCTCAAAAAAATATTTTAAACCCCTTTCAGCATTGCGACCATTAATCTTTAACCCTTTCAGGATCAGTGCCATACTCGCATGGCTTGAGAGCCAGGGTAGGTGCCATATTTGTACGCATAAATTCTAGCACCTTCAAATCGAGCGGAAGAAAGCTGGTAGGTGTACATATGAAAGAAGGGGGGCTATGTGGTCGTATGGGGCAATAAAAAAAAAAAACCCGCAGCATGCAGTGCAAAATGAAAAAAAAAATATCCACCTGTTTCGGGTTTCAAACAGCGACTTTGCAGTGTTTTTTTTGTATGGTATTTTGGTTGTATTTCTTTTTCTTGGTCTCTTTGACAAAAGGGGAAGATATTTACAGAAATTATTTTGATTTGGGTTTTACAAAGAAAGGTGCCTTGAAATTGGTCAAAGAGCGGGGAAATGTTCGATTTTGCTGATATTCAAGAGTGAACATTTAAAAAGGATAAAATACCCCCAAAGGTTTTTTGGTAAACACATACAACAGTTAGGTACTTTTTTATGAAACTTTTTTGCCTACACAGTAGGCTTCTTCACTGACCACCTCAAAACTTTAAGGGTGATGGACTGATTACATCGTCTTCAAGTATCTTTTGCTTCTTAACTTTTCTGTACTTGACTGAAGAAGCCTACTGTGTGGGAAAGTTTTATAATAAAGATACCCAACTGTTGAATGTGTCTTACCTACAATTCAAGAGGAACAAATCATGCCCCCATCCAATACACTCAATGGTGAGTCAAATTTTTTTACAAGTGCACTGATATTATTTATACCACTTTTACAATAATGCAGTAGTCTGCATAAAAGTAAATCTTTTATTTTTTTTGAGAAAAAAAATTCAAAATGGAAAACAAGAGTAATATAAAAAGGGCCCTGAGAATCATTAATGAACTAAGATAATGTTTTTTGTGCCCGGAATGTCGTCTGTTTATTTGGACCCTATTTTAAATTGTCATCTTTTAAAAAATTTGTGTGAAACTGGCCAAATTCCAATTTTTTTTCCATTCATTGGGTAGTTGAAATAGGTAAATGGGTGGTTTTTTTTTACTCATTCAAAAGAAAAAATGGATTCTAGCAAAATACCTATGATTTAGTCGAGGAAAAATTGGAATTGGCCAAAATAGGGCTCAAAGTGGGGTGAAATCGTCATGTGTAAAATCCTCCCAGACCCTAAACTTTCGAGGGAAATTCCATACGTTTTCATCAAATTTCATGCTTTTTTGGGGTCATTACCATCGGAAAAATTTTCCAAACATTTCATAAGAAAAAAAAAAATTTCTTTTTTCAGTGGAAACCTTTCTTCAATCCTTTTTAGGTCCAAGGTCCAATATCTGAAGGGGTGTCCAAGAAAATTTTGAAAAAAAAAAAAAAAAAAAAAAAAACTTTCATACAGAATTAAGACAATATTTTTGTGAGGGTAATATAAAAAAAAAAAAAAATTCTGATCAATACTTACCGAGATACAGCGGCGGGAAGTTGGACCCAAAATGATCGGGTGAGCGGCAATATCAGCCGACATCCCGCAGAAAATTGCATTTAATTTATTTTTTATACTTTTTTTCTTTTCTTTTCTATTTTTCTTTTTCTAGTAATCATTTGTGTCTGTGAGACCAGTATAATGTAATTGTAAATAAGTGTACACTCATTGTATTCCATGCAATAACTGCACTAATTTATCATTAAATTGCTTACAAAACTTGTTTACAAGTTTATTGTAAACAAATGATGAAAATAGTATGCGGTTATTGTGTTGAATACAACGTACCATATAGTACCATATGGTACAATGGTCATATGGTGCAATTGTACCATAAGGTACATTGTACCATTTGGTACATTGGTACCACAATGGTTACTATATTGAAACTGTTGTACTTCAACACAATAAACACACTAATATTTTCATCATTATTATTTCATTTATAATAATTGTTTACAACAAAAATATGCAAATGTTGTATATTAGTAATGCTCTATTATATATTTACAAATGTACAGCCAATTGACATGTTCCTTGAGTGGATGACAAGCGCTTTGTCTTGGAAACTGCCGAGTCACTAGCTAGCTTGCGTCGTCACTCACTCAGTCTTGCCTTGTGGCAACATCTCTAACTGACCATATGGTACGTGGTATCATATGTTATAGGGTACCATATGGTTACATTGACTATATAGTATAGGGTACCATAACATTACAGGATACCAATTGTGCAGTACCATATGGTCCAGGTACCCATATGGTGGCAGGGTACCATATGGTGCAGGGTACCAATAATGGAGCGGGTACCAATGGTACCGGACATCCATATGGTACAGATACAGGGATCCTACGGAAATAAGTCACCCTGACTTTTTTGGTTATCCTAGGGATTTTATACATATGCTGCTATTGTATGAAATAATCTATGTAACTGTAATTTGTGTAACCTGAATAAACTTACTCAAGCACATGTGGCATCGTAAGTTTATTTAGGTATACACAAATAAAGTTACATAGATTATCATACATAGCAGCGTATGTTTGGAGAACCAGGATAACCAAAAAAAAGTCCAGTACAGACTTATTTCCAATAGGTCCCTGTACCCGTACCATATGGTACAATATAACCACATGGTTAATGCCCAATGTTTACAATGTACTAATATGGTAACATTTTACCATATGGTACATTGTACCATATACCCATTGTATAACATGGTACCATTGTAACCATATGATACAATGGTACCATATGGTTCAAAACCATATAATCCTCTTCAGATCCACTTCTCATCATCTTAAACTGTAAGTTGTGAAGAGGAAGTCCAGAATTCGCCAGGAGAGTGATGTGGGGAGTGAGAGCTTCCCTGCCGCCAGGCATGAGAACAAACCGCTTTGGTGGCGTATTCCACAATGTGCCATGCAGGCGTCCCAGATTTTTTCATAGTGTGCAACACTGACCACCTAGACCCCATTCTCTCAGATGTAGGACTACCAGCCTTCTTGCGATTAAATTTGAGCCGCTAAATTTTGGCGTAATTCACTACGTTTGGAAACCCTCAACATAAAGCCGTAGATCTTCGCACAGACCCTGAAAGGTTTAATCCATTCCATGACCTTGCTCACACCCTGGATTTTGCTCATTGCAGTCATTTTCCTCACTTAAATTAAATATAATGCAATTAATCCGTTCCAGGGAATTCTGTAACTTCAATAATTTCGCTAATATCAACTCTAAACGCTTATTTATCTAATCTCATTTCATCCTAATATGACATAATAAACAATATAAACACATAGAAACCTGATATATACTCGAAAAACAATAAATGTGTCATTAGCAGTGATATGGGCGTGTCGTAGTGGACGGAGTTTGTCTGGAGACAGGGCAAAATATTTATTTTTTTTTATTATCACACTGGCCGATCCCACCAAGGCAGGGTGGCCCGAAAAAGAAAAACTTTCACCACCATCACTCCATCACTATCTTGCGCCAGAAGGTGCTTTACACTACAGTTTTTTAAACTGCAAACATTAACACTCCTCCTTCAGAGTGCAGGCACTGTACTTCCCATCACCAGGACTCAGTCCGGCCAGCCCGGTTTTTCCCTAAAACCCCTTCATAATGTTACTTTGCTCACACATCCAACAGCACGTCTAGTAGAAAAACCATTTGTCTCCATTCACTCCTATCAAACACGCTCACGCATGCCCTGCCTGGAAGTCCAAAGCCCCTCGCACACAAAACCTCCTTTACCCCCTCCCTCCAACCTTTCCTAGGCTGACCCAACCCCGCCTTCCCTCCACTACAGGCTGATACACCTCTTGAAGTCATTCTGTTCGCTCATTCTCTCTACAATGTCCAGAACCACTCAACAACCCTTCCCAGCCTCTGGACAACAGTTTGTAATCCCACACCTCATCCTAACTTTCCAAACTACCAATTCTCTGCATAAACATGTATATTCACACCAAACATTGCCCTCAGACATGACATCTCTGCTGCCTCCACCTTCTCTCTCCCTCAATGCAACATCATCACCCATGCTTCACACCCATATAAGAGCATTTGGTAAAACTTTACTCTCATAAATTCCCCTCTTTGCCCTGCCAAGGACAAAGTTCTTTGTCTCCCAGACCATAAGTGCACCACTCACCACTTTTCCCTTCATCAAATTCTATGATTCACCTCATCTTTCATATACCCATCCGCTGACAACGTCCACTAATCCCAAATATCTGAAACATTCACCTCCTACCATACTCTCTCCCCTCCAATCTGAATACCAATCTTCATCACCTAATCTTTTTGTTATCCTAACAACGTTACTCTTTCCTGTATTCACTTCTTGAATATTTTGCTATCATCAACAGAGAAACCTGATATATACTCTAGAATGAATAAAATATGTCATCATGTAACAGGTGGAGGCGGCCACAACTGCTCCTCTTTGTTGTGGTAAACCACCGCTTCTAGTGACGGTCTTTTATTATTATATAGTACATGTATTATATATATGTATTATTATTATATGTATTATATTATTATTATTATTATATTACATTATATTATATTATTATACTATTACTATTATATGTATTATTATTATACATATTATTATATTATTATTATTACTTATTATTATTATTATTATTTATTATTCAATATAAATCATTTGTAATTTTTATTCACACATAAAATATAAATTTACTGTTATGCAGACTACTGCCTTATTGAATAATTATGTATATACAGTGGAACCCCCGCATAACAGATGGCATCGCATAGCGATTTTTCCGCATAACATTACTTTTAATATCGCAAAATTTTTGCCGCGCATACCGAATTAAAAACCCGCATAACCGATTTTCTCCGAGACGCGTCCAATGTGCCCTCAGCCCCAGCCCCAAAAAAAACATGTGCCGCTCCGTCCCATTGTTTACCAGCCAGCCTCACGCGGTAACATCCAAGCATACACTCGTAATTTTCGTATTATTACAGTATTTTTTTCGGTGCTGAATTCTGGAAAATAAGTGACCATGGGCCCCAAGAAAGCTTCTAGTGCCAACCCTGTGGTAAAAAGGTGAGAATTATATGGATATTTAAGAAAAATTTTGAAGGTTTGGGGGGGGGGGGGGGGGGGGGGGGGGGGGGGGGGGGGGGGGGGGGGGGGGGGGGGGGTCGTCTTTTTTTTTTTTTTCTAAAACCCGAGAAGCCTATGCCAGTTGTGGAATCCATTGGCCTACTTTCAACAGAATAAGGAAATGTGTGCAGAGTGGGTTTGAACTTGCAAACATTTTATAGATGAAAAATCACCCGACAAACAGCTGTTGCAAAGCCAGTGCTTGTGACTATTCAATGGAAATGTTATGGCCCATTTTTAGGAAAGTCTTGAAGGAACGGGAAGGTACAGAGAGCTCCTATGGACAGATTGGTTGTGCGACAGAGGTCCACAGTGACATCTCAAGCTGGTCCTAGTGGGCATTAAAAGAAGAAGGGAAGTAACCCCAGAAAAGGACTTGCTACATCAAGTCCTAATTGAAGGGGATTCCCCTTCTAAACAACAGTAAGAAGATAATCTCTCCCCTCCTCCCATCCCATCAATCCATCAACCAATCTTCAATAAAGTAAGTGTCATGTAATTGTGCATGCCTTTTTCAGTTTGTGTGTATTAAAATTAACATTTCATGTGGTAAAAAAAAATTTTTTTCATACTTTTGGGCGTCTTGCACGGATTAATTTTATTTCCATTATTTCTTATGGGGAAAATTCATTCGCATAACGATTATTTCGCATAACGATGAGCCCTCTTGCACGGATTAAAATCGTTAACCGGGGGTCCACTGTAATGTCAACCCAAACAACCAAAACAATCCAACATTTCTCCTATGTTAAGCTCAATTTCAAGGAACTTTTCATCGTGAAAGCAATCACATCATATCTATTTATATATCTTCCATTCTATCAAATGATACCAAAAAAACGAGAATACAACTATAAAAACCACATGAAAATACCGCTAAGGGGTGGCTATTTGCAGAGAAGTGAACTCCATTATTTATGCTCCGATTTCTTTCATTTTTGGTGTACGTTAAGATGCATCTTTCCATCATACTTTGCCCAAGTTTCAATAAGATAGTCCAACAAACAAATGAGATCCAATTCCCTAGATCAAGAGCAAGAGCCCCTCACCAGCATCAAGGAACCTCCCTTGAGGTCTACTTGCTTATGTAAATTTCGCTTGCGTATGGAAGCAAAAAATCTACCCATTGACTGCTCGTACGTATTTGGAAAAATCTCGCTCATGGATGCACTCGCAAGTAGAGGTTCCACTGTATTTTTAAATTTTTCGACCCTGAGAGCGAGTTCAGGATCGGGGGTCTCGACCCTGAAAGGGTTAACTTACTGTGTCAAAAAATATTAGAAAAAAAAATTATTTCTTCTTACCAAAATCTTAAGGATAATTTTGTGAGTGTTATAAGACAAATTTTTTTTTTTTTTGCGAACAATACTCACCAAGATATAAAGGCTTACTTGTA